CATCAAAATTGTTAAATATATATATGTATGTATATATATAAATCAATTGACAAGACTTTAAGAATTTGTAAAATATTACCATGTTACCTACCTATATATAAAAAATATTGATATAAATATTTTATAGAAAACTTTATGTATCTATTATTAAGTTTTGAGACTTATCTAGATAAATAGTTGCAAGTTATCTTATTAATTATTTAAGATAAAAAATTCACCTATCAAGAAGAGTACATATATATATATAAGGTATAATATTTTTCTATCATAAATAATTAATATTACACAGCATACATTATGATAATAATATTTAACGTTAGACGAAGTATTCTTTAATATTATTCTTAATATTATATTGTTATAAGTGTTAAATATTTAATTTTAAAATTTACCATTGATTAATAAGTAAAAAAATTGATTTTGTCAAAAACCCATATATGTATAAATTCCGAGTTTCCCTTAATTTATTGTTTCCTTTTTCCTTTGAATGACTGAGAATTTTTCACTTTTAGTAAACATCTCTCATAGTTCAAAATATAGGAAATTTTACAGCTCCAAAAGATGATGACAGTAACAGATACAAAAAAACACACACATACATCATTCTAAAATCAAAATATGCATTGACCTGCTCAGAATATAAAATGAGGATAGGTAGGTACTAACTATAAATATACAGAGTGATTCATTGATAAGTGTACTACTTAGGTATACTGGTTATATATATATTATATATATAATCAGGTACACTAATAATCTCGAAAGTATTAACTATTTTTTTTAACTTCTATTTTTATGTTTTTCTAAAACCGTATAATATTTAAATTTTTTTGCCCTTATATTTATTGGTGAAACCATTATGAACTTTAGATTCTCAAATGGTTACATTTAATAAAAATACCATGAATTAATAATCCCAATTTTATTGTGAATTTAAGCGTTAACATTTTATTTTTTGTTGATCCGTTTGTGAGATACATCTTCTCAAAGTATTGGTAGTTTTCAAAATGTTTTGAATAATTGTAAAGACCAGGAACTAGTTGTAAATTTGATAACTTTGAACTCAGGGTAACAAAATAGATATAACAATTAATAAAAATTACCATTTTACTTTGAACCTAAATAAACCCTGATCATTTATTAACTTATTGACTAATTAGACATACCGAATTACCCAAGAATAATAAATGATAAACTGGGAGTATATATTAACAAATTTATTTCAATCACAATTTCACAAATAATTTTTTTTTTAAATTAAAATGGTATCATCACATAATTATAACATATTATCACTAATGACCAAGGTTCACCTTGAAACTCCGTGAATAGTAATATGATTATAATATCATGCATATAGTAAATAATAAATACCTATATTTAGGCACGGAACAATAATTTAGGTGATAATAATGGCAATTGTCACTATTTAAGATAGTCCTATAAATTATCTTAAATAATATTGTTTTGTGATATTGTGAACGATATGAATGTTGTAAGATAATAGTGGAAAATGGAATAGAATAATAGGTATTATAATTTTACTGCACGATTTAAGAATTTAATTAATTAATTACCTATCTAAAATCGTATTATACAATTACACGATTTGAAAATCTTATAACTTTTTTTATTGTACAAAAACTAATATCAAATTAATGTAGTGATATTATTTGATTAACAAGTAAATCGGAACCCAAGAGTTCAAGGCCATTAATAAACAAGGATTGTTTAATCTACTATTGTGATAACTACATATTCAAACATACATATGT